AGGGAAGAGCTCGTTTGTTTGGAGTGGGCTCGAGCTCCTTCCGGGTGAGACCGACTTGAACCTGAGGCTGAACTACAAGCTTTCGGCCGACGGTGCCAAACGAAGGAAAACGAGCCAGCCCGTGCTGGCCGAGATGGCGAACCGTCTGCACGCCCGAGAGACTTGCTTGCTGGGCTGCAAGAAGGACGAGGAGTTGCCGGCGAAGCAATTCAAGTATGTTCCCAACCCTGCGTCGCCCGGCGGTTAAGACATCCATTGCTTTTTAGGTTTGGAGTATGTGGGTCAGGCCGTTCTTACAGATGAACCTGACATGTTTTGAGAAACGGCCCAGGACCAGTGACTCGTCGAGCGGCTGGATGGTGGTGCCACTGTTGGATCCCAACAAGTTGCCCATGGTGACTGGCAAGGTCAAGGGTGAGGCCTGGCATTCTGTATTGAATGAGAGTGATCATGAGGTGAATACTTAATTTGTGAGCTTTGCCGCCAGATCATGAAGACTACGAAGAACAAGGACCTTGTCGAGATCAGCAAGGACATTGGTGACGGTGACCGGACGCCGTTGTGTTTCTACAGCAGGGCAAGAGGCTTGGCGAAGGAGCTGCTCAGTATCTCCGATTGCAGCCGTTTGGTGGATTTGTCGCCGAACGGCTGCGACATGCGCCTCGGTTTGCAAGCAGCCCTTCAATCATGTCATTCATGGCACCGATATGCGTGAGCCTCTTCCTCCGAGGCTTTTGGCAGCTGTCGAGCTCAAAGCGCCGTGTCTGGCGATCTGTCGCAACGAAACTCATGTTCAGGCCGGATCTGCATTTTACCCTTGTGCTCTGTACAGCAGCAGCATAGAATCCCGTGGAAGAGTCCCACCGTCAGGCTCTGAAGGACCTCCTCCTCGAGAAGGTGACGAGTCTGATGAGCGATCCGGCCGAGGAAAGGTTCTACCTATCCAATGCAAAGCTTGGGCTGGAGGAGTCGACGGAGCAAAGTGCTGGAGGCGTTGGCTCAGAGTCCGGGCGTCCCGCGCAGAGTGATGCCGAAACGGGTCGCGAAGGTGAGGGCGGTGAGGGCGGTGAGGACGGTGAGGACGGTGAGCGTCAAGGTGATGAAGATGAGGGACGTGCGTCACAGGCTGGTGGGGAAAGTCTTATTGCGGACTAGGCCAAAGGCCGTGGGTCCAGGTCCGAGCTGCGCTGCGGCCTTTTTAAGGGAGGAGATATCTTTCGGCAATGCCTGCCACAAGTTAGCTTCGTGCATGCACGTGCGACACTGTTGTGGACAGTAGCGGGCAAGTGTCCAGTATCAGCATGACACATGTCTTACCCCTCGTGTCTTATCAGTTGGAGGTCCACAGACATGTCGCCGGGGAAGCAAGCACGAGGTTTTTGAACGCAATCGGCAGAAGCACATGGCCGGCACAGGACATTGGCGCCAAGTCAAAGTTGCGACAACATCTTTCAGAGTCAGTGACATGGACAAAAAGGGGCGGGGTCAAGTGACATGTCTTTCCTGCTGCTTGTTTTCCTGAACGCCCGAGTCTGCAGGAGTGTTCAGCACCCGGTTCCATGATGCTGCTTGCTCCCTAATTGAGGAACTTCTGCCTTCATTGAATCGGCAACTGGGGACCTGGGACACGACCTCTGACTGAACGTCGGGTCTTGTTCTTGGCTCATCGAGAAAATCTCGTAGGTTCGACCATGCTGTTCTTCATGGCACGTGTGACCTTCTTGCTTGAGCCGAGCGGCTGCGCGAGTACGCAACTCGAATTACTACGATGGTCCAGGGGATGATGGTTTGCAGGATGCGAGCAAGAACAAGACCCTGCTGCCCGAGCACATGGCCCTTGTTGATCAGGTTTGTGCGAACGAGCAGGCCGCCGGGGACCAGCCCATTCGTATCTATGCGGAAGCCTCGAAAGTACGTGACCTGTGGCATTGTGCTGTTTTGGTCTATGTGGCGGACATCGTGATGTGACTGAAAGTTGGATCAGGCTGGTCCCAGCCAGGGATTCCGTCTCACTGACATTTCGAGTGCTATGGGGAAGCGTGTGTCCGAGACATGTCACCTATGGACAGCTGCCGTCAGATAAGATTCGCACGAGATAACATGCTGGCATGGCAGAGGTTCTAAGGATGCTGCTCATGCACAGAAAGCTCGGCCAGCCCATGAAAGCGTTGCCATCAGTCCTCCATCTGCTGAGGTTGGAGCCTGGAGCACAGGGCATGGGTCGGCCTGCCACGATTTTAATACAGAGCGTCGCGATGGATCTTTCAGAAAGAGTTGGGATCAAACATCAGTGTGAGTCCTGAATAGCTGCTGCATTTAGGGTCTTCTCTTAGAGTAGGCTGAATGGAGCAAGTTTGGGCAGCTTTGCCTCGTAGGCCATGGTTAAAGTGCGCCGCAAGGGTACTGTTTGCAGGCATTATAGAACGTTCTTGCGGCTCTGCGCAAGCAGTGCTGTGACGGGCGTTGGCAAGCCTAGTCTCAGTGTTGTGTCAGTGGAGAGTCAGAAGAATGATTGTGCCAATGGTCCGGCAAGCAGAGGTCATAGCTGAGAGTCAAAGGTCAAAGGTGAGATGTGTCTACTTCGCACTTGCCGTTGCGGCTTGTGGCGGTCTAGCTGCGAGAAATGTCAAGTCACCGCACGGACTTCTGCAGACATGCAGCTGTTGTATGCGGTCGTCAGTGCGTTGGTGCGTCAACTCTGTCAGGTGTGTGTGGGGGACACATTGCAGGGACAGTCCGCAGCTCGTTGGACAGTGCTTGGAGTCCCAAGATCAGGGGTTGATGTGGAGGGGTTGGTTTTATTAATTCGACTCCAGGTAATCATACAGACAGGATGAGTGAGTGACGTTGTTGTGATTCCGTTGATTTTGCTCTGCTAGAGAATCTAGTCAGTGAAACACCGGCTTGGTGAAGCTTGTCGTGCTTAGTTGCTGTTGCCCAGGTCTCGCCTGTATTGGAACGGTGTGCAGGTGCATCGCCAGCCCGGCGTGTGTTGAGAAGTCCGTGTATCTCGATGGGAATTAGAACTTGTCGGTTTCAATTCTTGACTGGGCATTGACGATTCTTAGTTTGGCAAAGTCTTCTTGTTCTGATTGAGTGACGTCCAGCAGATGCACTGCGCGTTGCTACTTTGTCGGCGGCCTGTGCTTGTTTTACCATGGACAGAGTCCAGGCTCGGCTAGCCGCCCGCAGGATCGATTAAATTAAAATGTACTTCGTATCCTGAGCGCGGGGTGACTATCCGAGCCGAGGATTGCGGTGTAGCCGTGTATCCAGATGTCGAGGGTTATGACTCAGCGCAACAGATGTTCGGGCAGCAATCTCTGCTCAGCTCATGGACGTGTTCCTGAAATGGCTCTGGAGACAGCATAGCTCAGTCGGTCGAGTACGGTTCATGCAGAAATTGCAAGTGCGAGGGCTTCATATCATTATTTTGGACAAGACAACAGTGGAAGCTGTGCAGAGATTAGTTTTTTAGAGTCATGATTGCTGCTGCCTGCGCTCTGTCAGAAGGGGCTGGCAGTGGGGAGAGCACCAGGAGCAGCAGCAGTTCAGACAGGGGCTCAGCCAAGCGCAAAGCAGAGTCAGAGGAAACTTGGCGATATTAGTCTTGCCTCTGTCAGCATTTGTCAGTGTGGGAGACTGTACTTTCGCACAGATTCGTTTGAAGAGCGGAAAGACGTTGGCTTGAGGCATCGTCAAGTGGTGAGCCGCAGAAGGTTGACGACGAGCATGAGCAGCCGGTGTGCAAGAAGAAGCGGCAAGTGGGCAAGGTGGCAGCTGGCGCCCATCTCAAGTTGACGCGGGGGTCCGGCGTGCCCCGAGAAGGTGAACAGAAGCACGTGAAAGCTTGCGTGGACAAATTCGGCAGTGCACCTTGCTTGCTAAGATGATAGGACAGTCGCGAGATAACAGACTCCAGCAAGGACTCAGAAAGACCCAGTCCATGTATCCAGCAATTGAGGTCGGTGACGCTTTGAAAAATTGTAATCGATGCAGATGGATAAAGAACAGGGTGAATTGGCAAGAGCGCTGCAGCTACGTTCTGCGGGATGGTTCCAAGACTTCCTGGCTTCAACCCAGCAGCGAGTCCGAGGACTTCGGCTTGCATTGCTCGCTGTGCCGGCAGTATGGTAAATGCCCTTTGAGCCCGTATGTGGCTGGCACCAAGGGTGCAGTGAAGCGACATGGCTGCAAGCGTAGCAGTGCCAGCCTGGTCCGCTTAAAGTCTTGCCAACCCTTAAAACCTTGTGCAACCAGGTTCGAGCTCCTCAAAAGCAGGGTCGTGGCCACACCTGTTTGGAAAGCGTACTGCAAAGCTTACGTCGTCTGTCCCCAAGAACTTCTTCAGAACCAGATAGAAATGGACTTTGCGTGTTACCAGGTTCGTGTCTTCGTGAGAGGACTGGACCAGCTGCATGCTTTGAACCAAACAGCGTGTTAAACGAAGGAAAGAGGCCTGAGAAGAATTAACTTGCAAGAACCCCCTTGTTTGGATGACCAGCTATACTTGTCGATGGGCATTGGCATCAGAGCACAACGCAGAGCTGTGCTTGAAGTTTTTTTTTAGTTGTGGGCCTGCGGAAACCTGAATCATCTGAGGCCAGGCTGCAAAGCGACGCTGCAAATTTGCGATCTCATGGAGCATGCGGAGTGGCCTCATCACCAGGCGGCCTTGCGCTTCGTGCTTGGAGATTCAGATGAAGCGCAGCAGGAGGCAGATGCCAGCAGAGCGACAGCGCCCGAGGGAATGCCGACTCTGGCACAACTCAAACTGAGCCGTGAATTGGGCTCTGAGCTGCAAACAGCGCAGGCATCAGAGCATCCGGGCTGCAGCATGTACGGCAGCAGGCATGTGTGACATAGGAGACAAGATACTTGTTTCTGTGCAGCTTGATCCCAGGTATCGGAGGAGATGTGAACTGGCCTCACGTGGTGATGCCCAAAACTTCCCATTGGGGCGTTCGTCCGAGAGGCAGCACTGGGCACACGTGGTGACAATGTCCAAGCAGGCTTTTGCAGATGACATTGGGAGTCTGAAGGACGTTCTTGCGATAGGCCTCGCTGAGGACGTCTGCGGTATCTACAAGATCTTGAGGGCTAGGTATGTGTTCCGCGACTTCAGTGTGAAGACACGTCTCCTGGATGTTGCTCTGGCGCCCGAGAAGCATGCGGTCAAGAAGCTCGAGCAACTCATGAAAAGCATACTCGAAGCGGTGAATGGTGACGAGAGGGCAGCAGCTGACTTCAGAAGCAAAGTGAAGGCAAGGTTGAGGGCTGAGTCTAGAAAGACTTGGATCTGAGGGCCTAGTGCCAAATGCTGGTAGGAATTGAAAACCCTTGGCCAGGTGTTCTGCAGTGATGGCGAGCCAGCGGAGCTGGCGGCTGGTTCCATCTGCCGGACAAGGCTCCCGGCGCTTCGCACAGTCTGGCGGTGCACGCTTCATAGTGGCCAGAAAAGCTTGGAAGCAGCGGTGAAATCCGATGAGAGGGTGAATATGCTAGTGACCGAGTTGGTGTCCCGATTCAGCGACAGCGATGGTTTGGGAAGTCTCGCCCGAGCGGTGACAAATTCCACCAAACTGAAGTTTCACTTCACAGCGGTGCAACAGCGCGACCTCGACTCGTTGGCTGAGCTGGCGCTCCTGGCCTGCAGTGTCAGCCCTGTCGTTGCGATAATTCGTTATGAAGTTTGATTCCTGTGAAAAGACCGTCTGCAAAACGCGTTGCAGATGCACTGCAATCGCCAAGGAATGCAAATTGCAAGCTCTCCTTCGCCCAGCAAAGATTCAGCACCATAGCCGACGTGCTGCGACTGGTGAGCTTGAGGAGTCAGACGATCGTGACTTTTCTGTGCGAAATTCGTGCCAAGGGTGAGAAGCATTCAAACTGGGCAGGCCGCCTTTTAGACGAGGCAGGCCATGGTTGCCGGGTTTAGTTCAAACTCAGGGCGGTAAACCTATACTTGGATGCCTTCTGGTCTGTATGGCAGGTGCTGACGAGCAAGAATTTGATCCTGGTGCACTTCTCGCCGAATTCCTCACCACCGCGATGAAATACGTCCGAAAATGGGACAACGTAGGGCGTGGCAAATCCGGTGAAGCGAAGGCGAACTGGGTGAGCCAGGTCGCCTATATTTCGCGGAGCGTGGGCCTACTGAAAGAGGCCAGGACACGTGGTTGAAGTAAGTTTAAGACATGGCCTGAAGCCTATAGGAGACAACACGGCAGAGTCAATAGCATCGTAATAACGTGTGAGTGGCAGTCAGAGTTCAGGAGCTCAAGAAGCTCTTCGAGTTTGGCAGTGAAGGTGAAGGTCGAGGGCAACGGCAACCATTGGTGATAGATGACAAATACACACGCGGCTTTGTACACCTGCTCTGGGAGAGTCTTCAGAAGCGTCGCTCGACTGCTGCGGGGCTTGTTGTTCTGATTTACGGCCATCTAATAATGATCAGTGACACTTTTCAAGAAAGCTTTGTATTTGCGATATCATGTGTAGAAGATACGAAGGAGCTCAGCGAAGGATTGCTCCAGGACAACAATTGTTTTCTGACCCGAAGACAAGGGTTTAGGGTTTGGGGTTTAGGTTTAACAGTTTCTTTTCGGATTTCCAAGGTTCTGAGACAGCAGGCTACACCATCGTGGGTGGCGGCCAGCTGCTGTACAATGGTGAAGGCACGTAGTTCGCTGTTCGGGTGAACAGGGTCCTCCTGTTTCGGGCCGGGGTTGGCAGCAGTCAGTTCTGACGAGGAATGTCGCGGAAGGAGTTCATTCGGCAGATCGTCGAGCATCTTGGAACGGTGAAGAACGTGAGCCGGCTGTTCATCGAGTCCTTGGAATGCGAGCATCAAGCTGGCATCGGCAAGTGCTTCTCTGCGTTCGACGTGGAGAACAAGGGTGAAGTCAGGCTTACGCAGACCAAAGTTGTAGCAAAGACGCATCCTGCACAGCAATGCTTTCGATTTGTGCACCAGGCCTGACTTCGTGCACCCGCTTGCGACGATGCTGGGCTCCACCGTCGCGTCCTTAGCCCTGTAAAGCTCTCGGAGACTTGAAACAAGCAAGTGCTTTATTTGCAGGGAGTGGCCCTCGCCCGAGAGATGAACATTGCACGACGGACGGCAGATCACTTGCTGCGGCCTTTCCGATGCAAGATTTTGAAAGGACTTCCAAGGCCTAGGCATTGCAGCGGTCGTTTCCGGTTGTATTTCAGAACCTTTGTGCAAAGGGTGAAGTTCAGAAGTAGCGGTCGCACGCGTGATGGTTATGCGTAGCTTGCTGGTGAGTGTAATGGACCCCAGAAACAATAGTCGACCGAGGAGTGGGGTGACCTGTCCGCTCCAGTATTGGGCAGAAACGTGCGGTCACTGGGAGGAGAAGCTCCCGCTCCTGCGTGAAGCGGCCGCCCGGCAGGGTACATGTTTTTCGCAGTGCCGTCCCTGTTGCATTTGACTAAGACAAAACACATTGCACGCAGGTGATGTTCATGCTCTCCCTGTTTGAATCGACGGCCATGCTGGAGCAAAATCTTTCACTGATGCGGATGTGCTCTAGAGATGAGAGAGCCCACACATCGCATGAGAAGGTGAGAGCCTTGCTGAAGCTTCATCTGGATGTGACTGATCCTGTCGTGGTGTACAATAGCCGGGACAGATCCTACAGATTGACTAGCTTCGGCACACGCTGCTTCAATTTGTATCGCCAGTTGTTTCCAGCTGGGACAAATGTGAAAAAGAACGAGCTGCCCAAGAGAGTCATGAAGCGCAAGCTGAACTCGACAGGCATGGCCGCATTTCTTCGAGTCCAGGAAGAGCAAAAGGCCAACCTTGTGGCACAGACGGTGAGTTCGTCCGAGGCTGAGTCATTGAAGAAAATGGTGGAGCAGTCAGCGGTGAAGCGAGCTTCTGCCAAGCAGGAATCCTTGCGCGAGACTTTGCGCAAGAAAGTAGAAGCAAAGGTGGCGGTGATCAGCCCTGAAAGTTTCGCGTCGGACGCAAAGGCCCGGCTGGCGCGCTTGCAGGCCGAAGAGAAGGAACGGGAAAGCAAACTCCTCGCAATGGAGCTTCGCGAGCTCAGTAGTGCACCCTTCTTGGACTTGTCAGCATCGGTGATCGTCTGCGTCATTGACAGAACAGAAATCCCAAATGCTGACAGGGTGATCAAGGAGACTTCGAAAGCCGTGCATTCCTTTGCGGCGGGCGCCAAGATCGTGCATCTCACTTCTTCGACCCTCGTTCCGAAGGCTTTGGAAGCTCGGTGCTTGGTTTGGTTAGCCGCCAGCGCTTCCGCAGAGAAGAGCCTCATGCAACCTCAGCCGGACGAGGATGAGTTGGGGTTGAGTGCAGTGCTGGCCCGATGTTTGGGCGGGTTTGTGGCAGGGCCGCAGTGGCTTCGGATCTGCCAAAGTGGCGGAAAGTCACTGCAGCCGGTGTTACGGCTGACACCAGCGTTGAGTGTGAGCCGTCAAATTTATTTCGACGAGAGCTTCCGCTACCGTGCGCCCTTGCTGAAGGTGTTGGCCGTCATAGAAAGTCACCCTGCGGGATACCGGAACTGGGTCATCCGAACACGGCGAGAAGAGTTGCTGCTGGGATATGTTGAGGTTTTTTTTAAATGTTTTGGTAGTTCGTTTAGGGTATAGAGTTTAGGGTATAGGGTATTGGGTTTAGGCTTTTCGATATGCACATGCTTCAGTCTCACTTTCAGCAAGGACAAAAGTCAGGGCTTGGTGCGTGGTCGGTCCAGACTACAAGTGTGACAGCTGGGAGGGCAAAGTTCGCTGCAAGGTCTTGAAGTACGAGCAGCTTCTGACCATGCTTACTACGTGGCTTGGCTTCTAATTGCCTGTCTAAAGTTCTTGTGGACGGCCGTGTGCTTCCTTGGCAAGTCGTGTTTGCTGACGGGGGCATTGAGGTGGTGCTGACGCCTTCCGCACGAGTGAGGGTGTTCTTGGGGCAGTGCCTTGAAACCGAACGCACATGAGCTTAGTTTAACTACTGCAGCCGGAAGGGTCAGCTATCGGGTTCAAGGCATCAGGGATGCAGGCCGAGGGTTCGGTCTCCCTTGCGTACACATGTGTGCAGTGTAGGAGTTCTGTTCATGCTTGCATATGTCAATGTCAATGAAGACCAAGACTAAGTCAGTCTAAGTCTAAGAAGAGGGCAAGAGGAAAGAAAAGCAAGGTTGACAGACACCTGATTTGCCGATCCTTGGGGTGATGGAAGACTGACCGTCTGATCAGATCGCCTGGTGCGCTAGCGGTGCAAAATGACTGCAGTGGGTCTCCGATTCAGGGGTTTGCTGGCTGTTTTGCGCCGGCAAGTGTCAGGGACAGAAGATTTCGTAGGCAGGATTTCGGGTTCGGTATTCAGGATGCGGGTCTCGATCCTTGAAATCAAATTAAACAGGAGGTTCCCATAGTTACCGATGGCAAACATTCCCGCTTCGGTGCCAACACTTGCTCAGCCTGCAGCCCTTGCCCAGCGACTCTGATTTCCCAAGTATTGTCACTGACATTGTGCCAGGATTCCTCCGCGGACACGGCGATGCCAGAGGCCAATGTGGAATGTCAATGCCTTCCGTCCTCCACCTTTGCCATAAGTCAAAGCACCAGCCCGAGAACAGCCGCGTTTGAACTTTCAAGTTCCATAAAGCCTAAGTAAACCCCAAAGCTTAAACCATGGGGTTACGGCTTTAGTTCTGGCCAACAATGGTTCCGTTGCAGGGGAACCTTCTTCGACCGGGTGACACTTCGCAGTCGACGTGAAGCAGGCCAGCACATTTGTCAAGGTTCAGATGCAAGAGGCAATGGCCCAGGGTCAGACCGATGCTTGTATCAATGTTACGAATCACGATAACAATGACAATGGCAGTAATAATACATAATAAAAAAGGAAATCCTGATGGTCAGGGTCCTTTTACTGGAGCGCAGGCAGGGAATGCATGCTGGAACAACCCAGAGGTGACTTAAGGTCGTCCCTGACTGTGGAAGTCTTCCAAGCAAGAACATAGCATGGCAAAGCGCCACAGGCGCCGTTGGTCGCAGGCTCAGATGTGCGGATAATGTGGATTGGTTCTCGAAATCTTAGTCTGCACCTGTATCTTTCATGAAGTATGAATGACCCTCTTGCCGACTGGACATCCAAAACCCCAGAAGTGAATGGACAATTCGCGATCCTTTGCAGTCTCTTCCGCACGGACATGTGATCCAGCTCGTGATGGCATCCGGCGTTTGGCAGGGTGAGATTGTACATGAATGCACAGACCCCCACTCCGCTATTATTATATCCACGTCGATTTGGGGTCTCCTTTGAAAACCGCCAAAACTATCACGGAGGGTCACAGCAGTCTTGGACTAATTTTATTCTGCAGGATCTTTTCGGGCGAGTATAGAGTATCACGTAGGGAAACCGCCTTAACCGAGCAGCCTTAGAATTACACATGTAAGAACTAACTACAGGCTAAGCAGAAACCAACCTGTCTCGAGGTGAAGCTGGCTGGGTTCTGAATACACATGAAATCATTGCCGCGCAGGGCTTTCGTCCAAAGAGGCGGTTTCCAGGAGTCTGAGTCTATAAAATCCTTTGCCATAGAAGTGTAGGATTCTTCACGTTTCTACTCAGTCTGAGGCTTGAAGTACAGGCTATAGGGTTTCGGGATTCATGGTTGTGATTTCATCCCGATTCCGAAACAAGCTGCTACTTCTCTCTCCAACTTCCCGCACCTCCTGCGCTAAAAGACCCTGCCAAAAAAAAACTATGTCTCAGGTGACGTTGGCTTTCTTTCACTGGCAGCTTAGCGGAATCGACTTGAAGCAGGCCCGCCCCGCAGCTTGACCAGCTTGTGACGAGTGCAGCCTCCATTAGAAGTGCTGAAAGTCCTCGCTTGAGCAAGATCTGTGCGCTTCCTTATTTGACATTGCTCAAGTTCCGGAACGTCATGGATTGTTGGCCAGTGTTGTGAGACAGTGGCAAGATTAGACTAGGAACACATGTCATGGATGTAGGCTAGGAACACATGTCATGGATCTCTAGGTTCCGGTGATCTGCCCAGTGGCCACCTGGGTGAGTTCAGAGCAATTTAGCACCGATCCGTAAGATGCGCTCCAAGATTGTGAGGGCCGTGCTGGTACCGGGACCGGCGCCCGAGGTCATCATGAAGAGTGAGATCAAATTGGAGCGGAAGGCGGAGAAGACGAAGCCAGAAAAGTCACAGGTGAAAAAGGAGCTCATTAAGGTCAAGTCCGAGATGCAGGTGAAAAAGCTCACCAAGGCCAAAGCTGAGGCGCAAGTGAAAAAGGAGCCCGTCAAGGCCGTCAAGCTGAAGGGTGAGGATGACAAGAACAAGAAGAAGATGAAGGTGATGTCAGTCCGAGTTGCGAGAGACCGAAGGTTGCTGAAGAAAGCGGTGCAAATCCCTCGTGCGAAGTTTGCCAAGTTGGTGAGTGCCATCACGATGGACCTCGAGCCGCACAAGTGCAAGCTGAATGGTGAGGCCTTGGACGCCCTTCAGCAGGCGGCTGAAGGCCGCCTCGTCGAGATCTTCGAGGCGGCGAACAAGGTGAGGCGAAGGGTGAACATAAAACGTCCGACCCTTCTCCTCAGAGACTATCAAATTGCCATGGGAATGGCCTAAAGGTGAGTTTTTGTTTTAGGCCGCAGGTGAGAGACTAAGACTATGAAATTGCCATGGCAATGACCTAGTCTAAGGGTGTTTTTTTAGGCCGCAGATCAGCCACAAAAGCTGACGCGAGGCCTGGGTCACAAGCACAGCAGGGTGATTGAGGCGTGTGCGATGCGAGAAAGACAAGTTCTGCAAGAATAGTAGTTCTTGAGTCCGTCGGCGGTGAGCACTGTGATCAATGCTGTTGCTGTTCTTGCGCCAGGCAGGTGGATCTCAGAGGCCGGTGGGGTCTCAGAGTGTAACTGGGCTCTTGCTGTGGACTCTGTGTGCATTGGGAGGGCTTCCCTTTCCGCGGCAAGTACACAGACCGGCGGTGATTTAGGGCTAGGGTTTTGCCGCCTTGAGTCCAAGTCCAGATCGTAAGCCCCAAACCCTGAACCCCGAGCTTGAGGGTTTAGGGCTTTAGGATTTAGGGTTCAGGGGAGGTGTAGGGTTTAGGGGAGGTGGGGTGTTTTGGGTAGAGTGGTGCCGGGGGATGTTGGGGATCGTAACCAGCGTGATGCAGCTCTGAGCCCAAGGCCTTCCGCCTTTGCCCGAAAATGTTGGAGTCCCCAGCCCTGAACCCTACTTCAAGGATCATGGGACTTAGTAAGTGGGGTTGCTTTAAGGGCTCCTGGAAAGGGATCTGTAGGGGTTCTATTAGGTGGGTTGTGGTTACTTGCAGGATCATGGGACTTGGTAACTCGGCCACTTGTTATTGAGCTAGTGTGAAACATCGAATCGCTGCACAACGGCGGGCAAACTTTTGCAAGCCACTTGGTCGGGCCGATGTTACGTTTCCAAATCTCGCTTCGGCATGCGCATCCTCAACCCCTCAATTGTGTACTGCTGCGTGTTGCCAACTGCTTTCGGCTCAGGGTTGCAACTCGGCACAGGTAGGGTTCGTGGAGCCGATGTGCTCTACCATGTGGAAGTGTCCGAGTGGGATGCCTGTGAAGGTTGTGTCTCAGGTGTTCCCTGGGCCCGAGAGCACCTGGCCCAAAGTTTTGGGGTGCCAGAACGAGCCGAAGCGAGTCGGCTGCCTTTCGAGTCCGACGTCAATTCACGACCAGGCTGTACAAGTTCATTCTCTCAGCACGATGCCGTTTCCCGCAGGACCGATAGACAGGAAAGGCCCGTTGCCGAGAAAGCACTGGATCTGGATGAGTGAGACCGAGGAAGCAGCAGCATGGCAAAGCATACAACCGCAGGTCTATGTGGACAACATCCTGACCAAGTTGTGTCCTCACTTGCCCGAGCCATTTCTTCGATCGTTGTTGCCGGATCCAAGAGCAGACTTGTCCGAGGCAGACTGGAAACATGAATGCTTTCGTGCCCGAAGGCGCCTCAGGCTCTTATGCTGGCTTCACAATCCTTCGCTCAAGCAAATCGCAGGCCACTCAAGGACCTGGAGACAAGAGAAGCGGACCACATATTTGGCCTCCCTTGTACAGACGTGTTCCCACTTGCCCGAGGCATTCGTCCGATCTTGTTTGCCGGATCCTATGGCAGACTTGGGAAAGACATGCTGGGAAACTGCATGTTTTTATGCTAAACAGCGTCTCAGGCTGCTGTGTTGGCTTCACTTCCCTGCTCTCGGCCAGATTGCAGATGGTGATGTGAATGAACAGCGGTCCGAGCCAATGGACAGCTCCAAGTTGAACTTACTGAGAATAAGTTTCACTATCAGGTACGAGGGGTGTTTTGCCATGTAACTTGGACTTTTAACTTGCATAGCCTAATATGGTGAGACATTGGCCAGAATGCTCCTCGCATATATCATCAGGGCCCGGGGACAAGCCCGAGAACAGAGTCAGAGGGGTTTGCTGGCAGCGTGGCAAAACATTGACAGGTTTGCTGTCGCGGTCGTATGTCGTCGTTGACGTTTTGGTCTGGTGATGTGTCTCGTTGTTGTGTGTGTCTGAGTCTCAAGTTCTGGGACTGTGGTTGCTAAGACCACACTCTAGATTTACTGCACGAGTCCACACCGCCGACCGGAGTGGGACCCTGGTATTTCTGCAAGGTACATCCCTAAACCCGATGGTGCTATTTCTGATTCTGCAAGGTACATGGGCGCTAGTCTACTCGTTGAGCTTTCGGTAGTATAATAAATGTAGGGCCTTCATACTTCGAATAGGGTTCCCTTAAAGCGTTCCTTTTAAAGGATTCTGTAGAGGTTACTATAAGGGCGACCATCAACTTCCGAACGGAAATCTCTAAGTGGTTGTTTCAGCAAGGCTGTTGCTTGCTGAAACACGCGGCAGGTCATCCCAATTGGCTGTTTACTGACTGAACCCTGCTACACTCCAAGCAGTCAGAAGTATAGTGCCAAGTAATGCATCGAGAGGTCTAGGCCCCAAACCCGTTGCTGTGATCCCAGATAGTATCATGGGCATCCATTCGTTTCTTCGTCGCCGAGCATCTGGATGTGATGTCGACACCTGTGATGCGTCTTGATGACGGTGGCACTGATTGGTGAGCGATGCTGGTGAACTGGGGGACGGGGATGATGTGCGTGATGATGTGATGTGGACGAAATGCGGTGATTATCATGGGATTGATGTTGGCGAAGCTGATTTGGCGACGATGATGATGCTAGGATCACGACCATGATCTTGACCATTGCCCTCATCATCCTGATCAGGGTTATGAACCTTATTGTGGTCATGACGGTCACGCTTGCAGGAACGATTTTACTCTAGATTAGTGCTGGTGGGGTGGCGTTGGCTGTGATGGTGGCGGTGGTGGTCAGTATCCTAATCATCATCATCATCATCATGCCCGTGCAATTGTTGTTGGTCACGGTGATATTTCTGCGGATGGTGTTGACGACGACGATGATTATGATTCCGGTTTCGTGTCGGTCTGATGCACTTGCACCTCACTGATTCTTAATGCTGAATCATCGTACTATACAGCTGCAACATCAGTCATGAGTCATGTCTGAACCCTGCGTGAGCCAAGTACGTGGCTTGGAAAAGTCTATGCATCTGAATAACCGAGGGTTCATTCCAGGAGTCGAGCTTACTTTGCCAGATCCAGGGGTGAGGGTTTCAGCGTGCAGGGTTTGGCAGTTTAAGGGCTTCTGTTTCGAATTTGTCTTGTTTAAGAATGTAGTTCAGAACGTACCTGCCGTTGCCTTGTTCCACGGGCTGCGATTTTGCGTGTGCCATTGGTGCATTTGCCGTAGTAGGTGACTCTGCACTGGTCCGATTTGTTTTCAGGCTTTCGCCATGAGGAGCAACTACGTCCCAAGATCATGCAAAGCACGAATTCCGGATCGAGTGTTCCATGCTTCAACGACCTCGGACATGGTGCTCCGGGCTTCAGGGGGCTCAAGTTCAAAACCTTTCTGAAGCCCTGAACCTATTTACAAAATGGGTCCACCCGGGAAAAATGCTTCAGGGTTACGACATAACTGTGTATTTATAATATAAGTCATGCCAAATACGTTCGACATATTGAGCGAGAGAAAGAGAGAGAGAGGGAGAGNNAGAGAGAGAGAGAGAGAGACAGGGATAGCGAGACAGTTAGAGAGCTTTACCATAGTTACGAGGCCAGAAAACTGGCGAGCAGTAACCCTAAAGCCTACAGTTTTCAAGCCAGGAGTGGTGACTGCCCCTGCAAGCAAACCGCTCCGCTGGGTGGTCCTCTGCCTCGACGCTGAGGCTTCGGTTTGTGTTCTTACTGATGCAACATATTCAGGGACCCTATATACGATACTTTACACTTCACAATTATCTCAAACTGTCGTGCATGTTTGCAGGGTGTCTCGGGTGTTGGGTGTGGAATACAGAGCTACTAATGCTGTTTTCGTTATAGTCTGAAATTTGTATTCTAATATCATTTCCCGACACCCCGATTTCAATTAACAGGCCCCTGTGGCTGGCCAGTGCCGGCTTGTTGCGTTCTGATCTCGCAGCTGTGCATGTTGTGGTGCCGATCCTCATCTTACTAAACTCCACAGCCTAGGTCTTCATTTCGTAACCTAACAGTTTTTGCTTTCCCCAGCCCCTCTGTACGTAAACATCGGTACGTTCTATCCCTGGACAAAAAGTACCAGACTTGAGGGTTCGAAACTTATTTCAAGCAACATGCGAGCCCGGAAGACCCGAAGACCCGGATTAAGCTGCTGCCAAGTTGAAGGAGTCAAGAAGAACCTGTTGTCCCTCTACTCTATAGGCCCTGCCTAACCCTAATCAGGGTTTTGGGCTTCTTGGTGTGAGACAAACCTACAAGCAACTGCAGAGCAACTGCTCGAGGACTGAGGAGGATCTTGGGAAGTGACAAACGTTTCAATGGATAAAGCAAATTCAGCGAAGTGCAAGAATTATACATATATATATATGATATATATATATATGATATATATATATGATATATATATATATGTATATATATTCCCCAAGATAGCAGAGAGACGGCAAAGCTGAATATGCACCAGCAAGATGTGCGCAAGCAGCTACAAGGCAAGAATCGTTGTCAGAAGCGAAGATGACGCATCCAGGCCCAATACACGTTCGCACCGTGCATGACGGCTTTGTTCCGCTTAACGATAGTTGCTACACGTGTTCAAGAGTTTGGAGTTGCAGATATAGCACTCCCCGCATGCCCTGCGATTTCTGAGTGTCCCCCTTCCTTCGAAACCAGTTGCTCTGAATAGTAGGTTACTAGCCAGTTTTTACCCCAGTAGCGCAGTATTTCGTTAACTGGAGCCCTAGGGCCCTAGGGACACCATGGCAGGGAGAGGTCGATCCAGAAACACAGCGTGTGGCTGTGCCTGCTGCTCGGCTTGACCTGGAGGGTCTGATCTTCTGAGCTGCTTTACTGACCCTATCAGCCTATCATGGGTTACTGGGCTATGTATTTGGAGAGTAACCCACTATTCAACTAACTGGAGCTCTAGGGTGAGCGATTCTGCGTGGAGGATCGTTTGGACTTGGTGCAAGTCAGCGATTGTGTCGGGAGAGAGATCTGTCAGTGTGGCGGGATTGCTTGCCAGAGACGGCTGAACATTTAGTAGCACTTCTGTACTCTTTCTTGCGTCTCTTGGTCGAAATCATACTACTACATACCTCAAAACCCGACTCCATTTAATAAGGCTCCTATGTCGTGGGATCCAGTCCTTCATCTGAGACTTGACAAACCAATAGAGTTAAAGCTTCGAGAAGGAAGTCATAACATGCCCACTTACCATTAAGAGTATTCCCCAAAACACCATCTCAAAACAGACAATAGGGCCCAAGAACTGAACCCGGATTCCTAAACGCTATAAGCCTTAAAGCCTAAGCCCTAAACCCTGACCCTATCCCGAAATCCTAAATCCTAAGCCCGAAACCAAAACCCACTAGGAAGCTTTGGAGCATCAGGAGGAGAAGTTGCACCTAGTGGCGCCCAAGCCGGAGACAGTGCGTCTGCGGTTCCGCAATGTCCCGGAGGGCTACACTTCGGCACTCATGAAGGCCGGAAGGGGAGGGGATTGTTTCATGGTGATCTGTTTTGATTCGAGAAGGGTTTTGAAGCTTCTTGTAGTACAGCGGTATGGGGAATGTACGTAGGGGGATCATCTTGCTATTTAGTGGTGTCGGTTTTAGGGTTGGGCCGCGACAAGTATTTGCTGAGATTTTCTGAACTCCTGGGACTGTGCTTGAAGATTTCTTATCTGTAGAGGCTCTCATGACCTGACCTCAGCCCTAAACTGTGAACCCTGATCTCGAAACTCGACTCTAAACCCTAAGTCTTCCGCTTTGTAGGAAAGCCGCTCGTAGGAGCTTGGCGCCTGAACTTCAGGCGAAGCCCTAGACCCATTTGCTCGGACACTCTGGCCAAAATAATTCGCTCACCGAAGCCCTAGCACTTTCACTTTCAAACTCCATAAACCCTAGTTAAACCTTAAAAGGCTTAAACTATGGGTTACATCCTCAGTTCGGTTCAACAATGGTTCCCTTGCAAGGGAACCTTCTTCGACTGGGTGACACTTCCCCGGAGTCGACGTCAAGCAGGCCAGAACATTTGTCGGGTTCAAATGTAAAAGGCTCCAGGGTCAGACCAATGTTGGTATCAATTCTAATATCAACAACGACAATAATAACAATAGTAATATTCCATAAAAAATGATAACATCATGATCGTCGGGGTCCCGCTGGACAAATAGGGCACAGGCACGGAATGCATGTAGGAACAACCCGGGAGTGACTTAAGGTCAACCCTGACTGGGGAAGTGCTCCAAGCAAGAACTTACCACAGGGCCACAGGCACCGTTAGTCACAGACTCAGACAGCCTGGTTTGGTTCTCGAAATAGTCTTCACCTGACCCTCCTGCCGACTGGTGGACATCCAAAACCCCCCAGAACTGAATAGACAATTCTCTTCCGCACGGACAGGTGATCCTCGTCATGGCATCCCGCGTTTTTGAGCCCGAGCGCTGCAGAAGAAAAGCGTTTGCAGGGTCGGTATTTGCACATGAACGTGGAAGCACAGACCCCCACTCCCCTGTTATTATATCCACGTCGATTTGGGGTCTCCATTGAAAACCGCCAAAAAGAGGGCCCTTATCAGGGAGGGCCCACAGCACTTCTAAGAGTAGTAGTAGTAGTAGTAGTAGTAGAAGTAGAAGAAGAAGTAGTAGTAGTTGTTGTTGTTGTTGTAGTAGTAGTAGTTGTTGTTGTTGCTGCTGCTGCTGTTGTTGTTGTTATATGGCATTATAGTCGTTACGCACGCCCCTGTATTACTAAGCCTCAGGCAAAGCAGTTGACAAAGACCTTGCCGACCGAAGCCCCGAACTAACAATGCTTAGGGCTTGTAGGGTTTAGGGTTTCTGGCGAACTCCCAAACGCCAAAGCCTTGTTCGACAAATGCAGGTCTTCCGTGAGTAAGCGGCTCTTTTGGGGGGGATTGATACACGCTGGGGTGGGATGAAACTGAAAAGCGGTCAGTGTAGACATTTGATATATAAGGCTCAACGTTGGGATCCCGATTGTAAGCCTAGTTAAGAAGAGGGTGGACTTGACTAGTTAGGAGTTTGCATTAGATGTCGTCGTTCATTCCGGATCCTGTGGCAGGCTTCGCGCAGATTTCTTCGAAGAGTACATGAAGACGCCTCTCGACGAGCACGTGCAGCTCTAAGCCTCAAAAATAAGTCCTGCACTGAACCCGGAAAACCCTTGCCTCAGGGCGCAAGCAATGCTACACCAAAACCGTATGCCCCTTTTTTTAAGTGAGGGGCATGAGCCCGAGTGCTTTCTGAAATCACGACGGCCCTGTTTTTTTCAATGTTTTTGCTACGGATCAATGTCATTCCCCAGGGTGTCTCATATGGCTATATCATAATATATTCGTAAGTGTATATATATATATAGACGTACATCTGTATGTATATATTTGTAAGTCTAAATATATATATATACACATGTATGTATATATATATATATACATATGCATGCATACATACTTCTTAAGGAAGCTTTATCCTGGTGGGCT